TTTCATGTTTCATATATTCATAAATTTATATATTTTATCTTTAAAATATATTTTTGACCAGCAAATAAAACAAAAATTAGTAGAACAAAAATTATTATTTTATAAACAAAAAGGTATTTAATCGCTTTTTTTATAAAAAATTTAATAACAAATTCATCAATAAATTCATTTCATAAAAATCATGGTTTCGAGAAAACGGCATTCAAAAAATTACACAAAACGGATTTTTTTAAAATCTCATTGAAAGTCGAAACACGCTTTTATTACATTTTTTTTAATATTTAAATTTTTGAAAACCTAATTATCATAAAGATATTGTGGTTTTTTATGAAATCTTAATTATGTTCTTTTCATCAAGGAAACTTGATGATTCTGACGATAGATATTAAAATTCAGAACTGTAACCAGACACGGGGAATAATTAATGAAGTTATTACCTATTTTTTTATAAAAAAAATTTGACATGGTCATAAATAGATAAAAGAAAATTAGGCCGTGACATAAACTACAAAATAACCCTTTTTCCCAATAAAACAGTGCATTAAACACTATGAAGCAACTTTAACCCTTAAATGTGACATTATCATCTCACTCTAAGCAAACAGTAGGGTAATTCTTCAACGGGAGGTATGGAAGGCTACGTGACCCCTTGTGAGTGATTTTGAATGCAATTTTCGGATAGGGTAGGAAAATCGATAATCACGGCCGGATCGGAAATGGAAATGTGCGCAGTTGGCAATTCGACGCCGTCGCTCATGATGTTGGATGATGACGATAATAATGATGATGTTGGATGTTTCCAAAAAGGGGGAGTTTGCTGTCCAAGGTTTCCTTTCACTTGGATTAACTGGCTTTTGTTACCAATTTTGGGCTCTTCCTGCCTCTTTCTCTCGTCGTCTCTATCTTGGGCCATTGGTGACCCAAAAAGTAATGAGCAAAAGAAGAAAAGAATTACAGAAAAAAAGAAAAGAAATAAGCATAAATTTGCAAGCGAAAGAAAACCAGAAAGTTCCATTAACAACAAATATTTTTGGCAGCCTCAATTTTTGTGTTCTCTTCTTTTGTTGTTGTTGCTGTTATTGTTGTGAAGAAAACGATGGAAGGGCTGGGGGAAGCTGGCCAGGGGGGAATTGGCGATTGCGAGCGAGCATTCTTTGAAAAGCACAGCCCATCAATCACTCAAACCCACACACAGCCATACCAGCAGACGACACTCGCCAACTTGAAGAGAGTAACAAACAAGAGAGAGAGAGCATGCTAATTCCAATTCGAGTTCGAATGAAAACGAAGCTCAAAAATCGGTTCCAGAATTGGGGAGCTGCTGGAGCTGTGAAAAGAGCGGCGCAAAATCATAATGGAAATCAAAAATAGCAACTCAAGAAACTCAAACACCAATACCCACGCAACTCTAACGAAGTGTGTGCGAAGAAAAGCCACAAAAATGTGTTCACTTCGACACGAAAATTGTTGGGCAAAAGAAACGGGGAAAAAAAATTCAATTACATATTGACTTTTGTTTATTGTTGGCGGCTTTGAAATGGATTGGAATTTCTGGTGTCCGTGGTGTTGTGTGAAATCACGGACTCCAACTTGGTTGTTGTTGGAGGGGTGCGGCATAAATTTTCACTTTGCCAAAAACAACAACAACAATAGCAGTGGCTGGACTGGCGTAGAAGTGTTGCCAAAAATCCAAACACACACACACTCTTAATATTTCGAATGCCAAACGAGTTTTGGGACTCTGGTTCTCCGCTTCTTCTTCTGGCTTTCGGTGAGTATTTTCATCGTCATGCCAGAAAATAAGACGATAAAAAAAATTTCCAACTCTTATTGTTAATTTCTTCGAGCGCAGCTTTATTGTTGTTCTTGACTTTTTGTGTAATTATGGTCTTGTGGTTGCTTTTTTTTTCTCAAATCAGGTAATCATTTATATTTAAGCATCAAAATCAAGTTTTGGCATTTGCTAATGCAAGCCAGAAAAAAAATGCGAGAAAGAAAAGCTAATTTTGAACTCAGATGATGGTTTAATACCCTTGCTGTATTTTTTTGAAGAGTTTCAAACAGCGACTTACAACACTACGATATACATTACACGCAGGTTCGACTCCAAGACCCACCAAAAATATCGAAAAATATCGAGATTTTCTTATCGAAAATTATTTTTCTTATTTAAGAAATTATCTTTAAACTTTTAATTTTTGAAAAATAGGAATATTTTTACGATCACTCCTATGCTAGCTATAAAATACATTAGTCCCATCAGAAATCTGCAAGTAAAAAGCATAAAAAGCATAGAGAGAGATCCATAAAGGAACATGCTTCATTTTATTTCCCAAGTCGTCCTGTTTTAAGAAATCCAAACCTTTTAGAATCAGAAATTCTATTATCCGCTACAAACTTCAATACATATTGAACATACCCTAAAAGAGTATAAAAATGGGAAAGATTTATATGAACACTCGGTATGTCTGTGTGCCTGTACAATGACGATTTTATTAGAAAGTAGCAATTGCCAAAAACAAATAGATATGCAAAAAAAGAGTGGATCCATAAATTGAAAGTTAATCTCCACTGACACCTTTCTAGCACACCTCCCGGGAATTTTAATTGCCATGCTAAAAATATTTGTTTAGTAATGACATGACAGGTGGTGTCTTGTGAATTATGTTCTTAATCATTAACTAAATTTATGGAAAGTATAAGTTGCGATTAAGTGATGTAATGATATATTATAGCATTATATAATAAAGAGATTTAGGATATAATACGGGTACTTATTCTGAAAAGTTTGGGATTTTAAGAACAACAGCATATGATTTTTTAAACTTTCGTCTTTCTCGTCGCAACTTGACCGGAAGCCAGTGTTGGTAAATTCTTAATCCTATCGATTAGGCCCAAAAACCCACTAAAAAATCCTCCTTTCCTGCTAATTCCCAAATTTCCCATTCAATAAGCTTCAACACTTATTTTAAATAAAATTTTGAAGGATACTCCCCTAAGAAGAACCGAAGAAAAGCACTTGTGTTGAAAACACCCTAACACCCTAAAACACCGAAGGGAAACCCCCTAAACTAACAAGCAGTGACCAGAACCTGTAAGAAGACAAACTTTTAATAATTTTTGCGATCTTGTACACAAAACTCCATACATATTTTTGTTGAGTGCCACCAGCCGCCACATTTTCTTTGCCTTTTCATTTAGCACGACTTCCTTTCGCCACAACCCTTTCCCGGTTCGCAGTTTCTTCTGCCCCAACTCTCTCGCCCTCTCTCTCACTCTGCCATGGCAGTTGCAAAAAGCAATCAACTGTATCGTTTCTCGCAGCCATTGCGCTCGCCCGCTCGCACTCACTTGTTCTAGCGCCCGAGCGATCTTCGGGCTTTCGAATGCAGCAGAAAGAACAACAAAAGCAGAAACTTCGTGTTCTCACACAAACACACGCACACACTTGCAGGTTTTTGCTTTTTTTTTTTCGTTGACTTTTATTCTTTGCGCCTCGCGCTAAACTTTTTTGCAGCGATTTTTCAGAAACAAACGGCAACTCTCAGGAATAAAATCGTCGTCGCTCCGTTCGTTACGATTTCGGTTTCGTTGTTTCCAACCTTCCAACCAAACACCAACCCACCCACCCACAGCGCAAAAAACCAAACAAACAATTTGTTAGTAATTTTAAGGCAGCGCGCATTACATAAATTACAGTGCGGAATATGAGAAAGAAAACCGAATGTGAAACACTTGCCGAAAACCGAAACAAAAACAGTCAAGTGGAGTGCAGCGCCTGACATTCTGTTTTGAGTGAAAAATGCATAACTATAATTTATTGTAATTAAAGTCCAACTGCCGAGAGACAAAATAGATAATAGTGGGTTTCACTCGTGTTGCTGCTGTGTATGTGTGGGGCTGCTGCCGCCTCTCCTCCTAGGCGACAGAGGGAGAAAGGAAAAGCTTCTACGTGACCGAGTTGCAATGAAAACTCCGCTGGAAAGCCAGGTGAGTACGTGACGCTATGTCCGGGACATTGACGGATATCTCCGTCAATAGATCTGTGATGGGCTGAATTTATGTTCTGAGGGGCACTCCTAGAATCGTCTCCTCTGGATCAATTAGTGCTGGTTAGAGTCGTTTGGTGTGTAGAATTTCGCACAGGAATGTTAATTCCCAGCCGTGTGCTAAACCGTTAAAAATTAAGGTACATAATTTTACAAAATTAGAGAGTGCGAGTGTGAGTGCGAGTGTGGGGTGGGGAAAACGCCGTGTGCCGCGATGAAGTCATGCTGGAAGCCAAAAATAAATCAGCAGCGATCATAAAAGCGTTGGAGAGTGCACAAAATAATTTGCGCTTTTTAGTAGAAAATGCACTATCCCCCTCACGCTCGCACACACCAATGCAGCTAGCGCGGGTGGGAGGGAGCGCCAAAGAGCGGGATGGAGGGTGAGCGGGAGAGCTTGCTCGGCAACGGTAGTTTTTACCATTCGGCGTTCGGCTTTGGCGAACATTATGGCTTCGCCTGAGAAATAAAAATCGAGCAAGAAAAAGCAACAACACTCGATGGGAAACGAAAACCACAACAACAACTGCGAGTGATATTTTCGAACTCCGCCACACAGAAAACAGAGTTGCCAACATAGTGCCGAAGCATAATAGTTGATGTTGCAAGTTTTTTAAAACACGTTTGTTTGCGATCGCAGGGGTTGATATAGGGGTTAGTTTGTATTATTTAAATAGCATTTGCCTGAAATAAATTGCCTCCCCAATTGAGCTTGGCAATGGTCGATCTGGCCCCAGTTGCCAACCCTGGCTGGCAACTCTGCGCGGCAAGCATACAAAGCACAACACACACACACACACACATTGAGACGAAAGCACCCGATGAAGAGGGAGAGACAAACAGACGACGTCAACTCGCACTCACACTCTTCGAACTCGCTCGCTCGTTTCATTTTGTGTTTTCCGTTCGGCAGTCGCTTCGCCTTCCATTTTTCGCTTCAGCGTGCGCTTTCCGTGCGCCATCGTTCAGTCGTCAGTTTTTCTTCAGTGGCTCCGCGCGTCCGACATTTCTGTGGTGCGTCGCTGCTGCTCTTTCTGCTTAGCTCTCCGCAGCAGGAAAGGAAAATACATACACATACACATCGACGTCCATACAGTAAAAATAAATTCAACTTTATTGCTTTTCCCCGTCGCGTTATCGTGTGTGTGTGTGTGTTGTACATGTGTGTATATATATATATGCCTTGGAAAAGCAACACCAAAATTTGATATGTGCAAAGTTTGACGACTACGTGCTGCCTGTGATTCTATTTCGGTGTGTATATTAAATTAATAAAAAAAAAGAACTGAAAACCTCTAATTAGTAAAATAGTAATATTATTAAAATATCTGCGACACTGCAACGAACTGTACTTTGCAATTGTTGTTAGTTAGCTTTGTGTCTGTGTGCCTGTGTGTTTTTTGGTGTTTTTGCATATCGAATCAATACTTCCAGTGCTGCTCCTATCGATTTTTCTATGTGGAAAGCTCCCTGGGCACGAGAATGAGGGAGAGTGCGGTGAGAGCTTTCCGCCACTTTCCCGCATCGTTACAAATGCATCGACGAAGTCAAATGACGAGCCATTTTCATTAATTTCCACGCACGCACACAGCGACACTGCCTCACTTTCCATGCAAATGAGGTCAAGTGTTGCAGTGGGAAATGCCTGCCTGGTGCTGGTACTGGTGCGAGTGTGAGTGTCTGGCTGCGTTACATAAGCTTTTTCCCCCAATTAACTCGAGGGGGTCGGAAAACGCTGGAGCCGAAAGCTCGGATGCAGGGTAAACAAAGGGGCTTGAAATTGTAACGGAAACGCTGAAATATCATAATTGGCTTTCAACTCCTGTTTAAAAGCACGTTTTTCCCTCGGACAGATTCCCCCCAGAGTCTGTGGCCGCCATCTTGGTTTTTCCCCCCAACGAGTCGCACATAAAATATTTTGTTCAATGCTGCTCTCGCTGGTTCGCTCTCTCCACACTCCCTCTCACTGGTGGCCTGTTTGCTTTTCGTTTTATGTTTGTTCGAGAAAAAAAGCGTGAAATTTTCTCTGCACTTTTCACACACACATGGAAAAAAGCGGGCGAGAGAGTCGCCAAGTTGGCGCTCCGTCAGCCCTCTCGCTTGCTCCCTCTCACTCTTTCACACGCCCGCCACATATTTTTGTTTCCACTTTGTGCTACACTTCTACTTCTGTCGTTGTTGTATTTGTTTTTTTGCTTTTTGTGTTTTTTTTTTTTTTGTTGGTCTGCTCTAGAGACACGTTTACATTTTCATTTTTCATATTTTCGTGTCTCTCGCGTAGAAATACGATTTCTGCTTTAATCTTTTGCATGCTGACACATGTGTGTTGTTGGTACTGGCAACGCCAGGCTATTGTGAGGGGGTGAGTGAGTGATGGGCGAGCGACGTTGCCAAATTTCACCTGCAACTTTGAAAAGTTTCATTTGTTTACATTCTACGCACATGTGCAGAATAATAACAATAATAATGCGACGACGACGACAATAAAGAATCGCTGAAAAAAAAAGCTTTTGCGCAACAAGTGTAGAAATCGGAAATAGAGGGAAAACGCAAAAGCGCAGAAACACGGTTCTTTTCAGTCTCCTCTTTGGGCCGCAAGTTTCTCGAATGCTTTGTTTACCATTTATATTTCGACTCGTCAAATTTTTTGTTTCTTTCCAAGCACGCTTCGCCCGCCGCCCACCCGATGACCTTGCCACTGTTTTCTGACCTACACACGCACAGTGTGCCAAAATGTCGCACTTTATTCTACTTCTTTTTAGCTTTTTTCGGTAAAAAAAAATGGCAAAAAATAAATATAATGAACAAGGTGAGTGGGGCAGAGCTCTACTGCTACCTCTTTTCTGGCCGTTATCACCGCCCGCTTTGTTCGACTTTTATTTTTGTTAGTTTTTATTTACTTTTTCGCTTTGGCTTTGGCTATTCCCATTAGCGAAAAAGTTCATTGAACTTGTGCGTTTTATTGTGCCTCTGCTGATTGTTTTCGGCGGCTTGGCTTTTTCACTTTCACTTGGGTTGGAATTAGTTGCAGATATGGGCCAAGTTGGAACTTGGTTATGGTATGGTCATCCCTTAGATGTTAAAGATCTATAACTACATTCCCCAAAAGGCGACATCATCGTATCATCATCCTGACTGACAGTCAAATCTCCAGCGGTACCCACTATAGATAGATATAGATAACCTCACCAAAGCCGCCACTTCCTCCGCTCCCACTGCTACACTACACCAACACCAGCGGGGCCGCCCAATCGCAGATACACTCACACCACCGCAGATACATACGCTCGCCGCGCATAACAAGCCCTTAACATTCACTTTAAATAGCTTTTCGAGAAAACAAGTTTTGTGGTTGACGTTTCTGGCTTTGTTTTTGTATTTTTCGCTGCTTTTAATGGCAAAACGACATTTTCTGCGGCCAGAAACCGAACCGAACCGAACAGAACAGAAAAGCGAAGCGGAAAAGGAAAAGAAGCATGGAAATGGAAAACGAACTGTTCGATACTCTTTAAAAATTAGAGTCCTTATAAAGGGTGTAAATGTTTGATACAAAATAAAGGGATAATGATCATTCTTTATATATTATCAGGAATTCAAGTGCTTAGGTCTATACCTGGTTCTATAACCAGAGAAAAACTAACCAAGGAGAACACATTTTCGAAAATTTTTGAAAAATATCAATAAAGTGTATATAATTTACATCATTAGTCTCGAAGTATAGAAAACAAGTATGTAGATTTAAAAAAAAAACTTAATTTATTCAAAATATCGGGATTATATTCAATATTTTATTATATTGTAAATAATCTTGGATCTTGTGTATAGAAAAATGAGAAGAACTACGAAATATAACTATTTTTAGGAATTTTTTGTAAGAAAACTGTTAAATTGTTGTGATAATTACACTTAAAAACCCCCTAAAATTTAAGGGACTTTACCCAAATATCAGGTTGTAATGACTCAGATAGGGGGTTTTATAATACTATTTTCTTGATCTAACTAACTTGATCAAGCTTAAGTCCTAATAAGGATGAATAGATTAAAATGTTTTATAACAAAAATAGAAAAAATGATCCATATTTTAATATATTATAGTGATCTTAAGTCCTTAGTTATAGAACCTGAGAAAAAATAATAAAGTAGAACGCTTATCAAGAAGAGCTATTCTATTTTTATTGCAACTACCCTATAGGAACCCCTATTTTTGGGGGACTTCAGCAAAGTTTCAGCTATTAAAGGCTCACATTTATGGTACTGGATCTCATTTATATATGAGATCTACACTACTAGATATTATAGTAGACTCAACTATATGACTATAAGATCCCACTCTACTAATAGATACTGATCTAATTCTAGAACTCGAAAGTCCTCATAAAGGATGTATAAATCATGATATATAAAACAAAATAAAGGAAATATATTTAATATTTTGATAAATTATGAAGAACCCTAGTCCTAAAGTAAAGAACTACCTTAAAAGACCTCTCCTAAGAAAGATTTTAAAAAAATCTTCAAATTCTTCCAGTTACTCCCCATAGCAACCCCTATATCTAGAGGACTTTGAGCTATTATTGACTCAGATGTCTGGATGTTTCTGGTGATCAAAACTTTTCCCAATCCGCCACTCTATACCCTGTATTTCGACAACCAGAAAGGGTGTAAAAATAAATAAATGAGCGACAGACGCCGCCTACGTGGGTTTTCAGAGGCGGTGGTATAGGTATAGGTGGAGAGGTAAGTGGCATGAGGAATAGGTGTTTTTTTTTTGTTTTTCGGCTTCGGACTTGGGTGTCTGTTGCTATTCAGCAACATTTTCAGCTAGGGGGCTGCTGGCTGGCTGCTGATGCCAGAAATTAAATTATTGAAAGTCAGTGCGAGAGGAGGAGAGTCGTACCGTGCCATACCGTACCGTACCGAGCAGAGCCGAGTTTATTTTTACGTCGTAAATATACAAATTTTATGTCTGGCACACGCATTCACACATCGACACAGATGTTCGAGCAGAAAAAGATTCCACTTTATGCAAATGTTGTGGGGGAAGTTTTATATTTGGTTCTTGGCCTCCACACCACTCCCCCCCTCTGCCCCTCGTTGAGTTATTTCCATTTTAAATTTTTTCGCTTTTTTCAGCGCGTGTGTGTGTGTGTGTGTGTCATGGCGATTTTTCTGGCTGCGATGTGAAATGAAATGAAATGAGTTTCTCAAACTGGTTTTTCTGCCAGTCGGTCCGATCGGATCTCGAATCTCTGATCTCGGATCTCTCTAAAAACCCAAAAACAACAAATATACTATAAACCCGACTTGCCAGCCAGCCAGCCAACCGACCACCCGCTCCTCCATTTGATTTTCGAAATGGCACAGTTCTTGTATTCTGCGGAACCGGTTTTTCTTTTGACTTTTGCAGAACAGAAAACCAGCAAACCAGCCCCATTAATATTCCCAAGTTCAGCTCTCTCTGAATTTTCACTCAGGGGGTCTCTCCCGCTCCCGCTCTCACTCTCCTCCGATGTCGCTATCGTTTCCAATTTCCAGACTTTGGAGGCCACTTCCTGTGCGTCGAGAGCCCCGAAGGGAGAAAAGGACTCGATGGCGGCAAGGGCGACAGTTGTGATCCAACATCTGCCAGCAAGACCGAGTTTAGAGAGAGGGGGGATCTCGGTAGGTTTAGGGGTTGCTTGCAACCCCAAAAAACAGGCCCTCCTACTTACTATTCTGGAAACCGGTTACCGGGGTTACCGCCACCGTCTGGCGCGTGCTTAGGGAAAAGGGACCGCCGACATCCTTCATTATTATCCGTCCTCTGCCCTCCATCCCCATCCTGTCGACTGCATCCCACTACCCCATTTCCATCATCTGCCACTCTCCATTCAACGTCGGATTAATGAGTTTTCTGATGTGGCGGGTAACTAACTTTGTACACCGGGGACTTGGCGCGTTTCCAGGGCGGCAATTCGCCCTTCCAAGTGCGAAAGGTATCTCGTATTTCTGCACTTCCAGGCGGTTGCCAAAACTAATCCACAGCTGAGTTTTTCGCTAACAACGTTCGTAAAATGACATCTTTGGACGTAGTTTGATAGTAGATCTCAGCACAGTCATCTCATTATAGATTAGGATCTATAGCATCTTGTTTATAAGGTATGGAGGCTCTTGCAACTCCATACAGCCCTCAGGATGCTTAGAACATCTTCCAGTTGGGTTTTTCGCTAACAACGTTTCTTAAAATATTAATTTTGAACGTAGTTTGATAGTAGATCTCAATACAATCGTTATAAATCATAAAGCAGGTATTATATCAGCAGGCATTATATCAGCAGACATTAGATCTATAGCATCTTGTTTATAAGGTGTGGAAGCTCTTGTACTTCCATGCCATCCAGGATGCTTAGAACAACCTCAAGTTGGGTTTTTCGCTAACAACGTTCGTAAAATGACATCTTTGAACGTAGTTTGATAGTAGATCTCAATACAGTCACCTCATTATCTTCTTGGGTATTATATCATTCGATCTATAGCATCTTGTTTATAAGGTATGGAAGCTCTTACACCTCCATATAATCCCCAGGATGCTTAGAACAACTTCCAGTTGAGTTTTTCGCTAACAACGTTTGGTAATCTCAAAATTTTCAACGTAGTTTGATAGTAGATCTCAACACAGGACCCTTAAGGACACTTCTAGTACTACATGGCAGGATCATCCATCGAAAAGCGCCCCCTTCATCCTCCATCTTCTATGCAACGGCAGTTATAACAGTGCTTTGGATCAACACCTTGCCAGACACTCTCCCATGCCGTTGCCAGATGATAAGCCAGTTGAGATTTTCGCTAACAATGCTCCCCGAACCACTTGGGACATCGTTTGATAGTAGACCTCAACACAGTCTCTAATTAGTAATTACTCCGCCCCCTCCCCTACCCAGGACCGCCCCAGGGGCAGCGGGAAAAACGAACCCCAAAGAAGTTGCCCAGCAGGCGGCGGGCCTTTGGACCCAACTGTACTTTTCCGCACGCACACACGAAACTCTCTTTTGGGTTCGCTGTCTGTCGGACGGACGGTCGGTCGGTCGGTCACAGGATCCCAATTCATAATCCTCCACCATCTGCGCAAAAATAAAACCTTGCAATGTGCAAAGAGCGCGCGAGAGAGATCCTTTTCCTCGGCCTCCCTGCAGTTGCTACCTACTGTTCTTTGTGTTTGTGTACGTGCGTACGTGCCACTGTGTGCGTGTGCGCTCAACTACTAAATAAATCCCCTTTTGTGTCGCACTGGAGAGTAGAGTGAGTGTGGAAAACCCCTCCAATGCATCATCGTTGGTTGGGGTATGAGTTGTTGTGCTTCTAGTTGTGCGCATGTCTTGACTTGCACCTTCCATGGACCATGTGTGTGTGTATAACAGAATCGGAGCAGAGCATTAAAACTGATCCCTCGCCTAACGGTACTCGGAAGGGTCGCCCGGGGGGTTAGACATTTCCAGTTAGACTGGATCTGTGGCATCTTGTTACTAAGCTAGCTATTTCCTGGAAAGTCGTTAGGAAAAGTTTCCCTTTCCCCCATTCCCTTTTTCAAGGTTTTCCTTGCATTTGCGATTCGCCGAATTGCAGAGTTGCTACCTGTGTTTAGTGTGTATTTACCGTTATATTTGCTCTGCTCTTGGCACGATTGCGGCGCTGCATTTCTTTTCGCTGAGGCTCCTTTTTGCTGATGCCGATGTCGATGCCGACGCCGACGCCTCTGTCGCAGCGCTGCCGCCGCCTACCTGCCTCTGCCTACTTGGCAATTTCATAACGTGCCCCCAAAAGCGAGCGTTTGCTGTTCCTCTCTCTCGCCCTAGCTCCGTCTCCCTCTCGCTTTTCCTCTGCCTTCAGCAACTTCGTTTGCAGGGCGGGCGGCCATTGGTGAGAAAATCCTCGCACAAAGAGAGAGAGAGCATCGAGCTGGCAGAGCTTCTCTCGCTCTGCCGACGTCGGCAGAAAGGCTATGTTACGGTTATCGTGCTCCGTTTTACGCTCATTTTTCGCAGCGAGAGAGCACTGGCAAGCGAATGCACATAGGGCGGTTCGGGAAAAAACACCACTGTGTGAGCAGAGAAAAATCGGAAAATATCGTTACCTGGCCGCTCTCTCTGCCAGCGTTTCTATGTCTCTCCCAACTAAACCGTCTTCGTCGCCTTCGTCCGCTTCGTCGTTTCATTTCATTTCGTGCGCTTGGAGCTTTTGTTTGGTTTTCGTGCGTTGTGCGGCAGATCGCGACAACGCGTGCGGTTTGCTGACTACACGGCCACAATACATCCACTGATACTGCTACATACTACAACACATCTACACCAGCGAACGGAGTCGACGCTAGAATAGAAAACCTTTCAGTGCTCTAGTGCTAATTTATTTCCAAAAAAAAAAAAGAAAAGAAAAAGTAAGTGCTGCGGAGTGGAGCATAATCGGCCGATTGTGAAATAGTCCATATCTATGTACATATATATTTTTTGTTCATAACGAACTGCGACGAAACCCTGTGTGTTTGTACATGTGTGTGTGTGATTCTAATGAAAAACGTTCTATTTTTAACTGCACCACACCATAAAAAATGGAAACGGTAATGTGTGGCGGCGATTGCTCCACACTTCAACTTTAAAAATTATCAGCTCGCTGATGTGTGTGTCGGACGGGGGGGGGAAAAACAGAAAATCATCATAAATATTCGTCTGGTGGAGCGTGAGTGTGTCTACTTGTGAAATTTTCCACAACGAAGGAAATACAAAAAAAAAAAAATTCAAGGCGCACATACAAGCAAAGATACGTTCGAGTGTGTGTGTGTGTGTGCCTGCAGCGACGCCAACTGCGAACTTCCCCTCTTTATGTTTCATGCTTCGTTTTTTTCGGCCGCAGCGAAGCCTCTTCGTCGTTTATCGTATCCATCGATCTCCATTCGGGAAGCAGAAGTAGAAGCAGCAACAGCAACTGTAACACAAATCCGTTAGCTCTCCCAGCGAGCGATTGTCCGAAAGCAAGAGAGTGAGAGGGAGCGAGTGTTCCGTTGGAAAGAGCAAAGTTGAAAAATTAACAAAAAGCAGAACCAGAACTCGCTCGAAAAAATTGCATTTGCAATTGTGTTTGGGCGTCATAGAGGGCGCTTTTCTGTGCAAATTTGCATATTCTGTGTATGTTTATATGTATGTGTATGTGTGTGTGGAATGCAAACAACAATAATAATCTTAAATTTCAAGTTGTCATGCTGGTGCTGCGAGTATGAGAGTGTGTGTGCGTGCGCGCAAAAGAGATGAAAGATATTGTTATTACCGCGCTGACATGAACATGAACTTGACCTTGGAACGATATAATATGCATTATTCAGACTCTTTCCACAAGCATTACTAATTTTTTGTGTGTTTCTTTTTTGTTTCATTTACAGCATAACTGCTGACGCAAAGAACTAGAAGTGAAAAGAAGGCGGGCTCGTAGTTTCTGACCTTACTGTACCACCACCACACCCCCTAAGTTGCCATTTGGACCATCAGCGAGTGAGCGGAGCAAAAAACAGATTACCAGAGAGGGAGCACAACCATCGGGACGAGCCACGTCTAGGACGTGGGCCACCCAACCTCCATTTCCAGCCCCCAGCCCCCCCCAAGGTCCAAACCCGAACATGGATGACGATCAGCAGTTCTGTCTGCGGTGGAACAACCACCAGAGCACACTGATCAGCGTGTTCGACACGTTGCTGGAGAACGAGACTCTAGTCGATTGCACGCTAGCCGCCGAGGGCAAGTTTCTCAAGGCCCACAAGGTGGTGTTATCAGCATGCAGTCCCTACTTTGCTGTAAGTATTCCCACTCCCTAACTTCCCGTCCAGGGCCCTCCTCTAATCAGTGTCGTTCTCCCCGATCAGACCTTACTACAAGAACAGTACGACAAGCATCCCATCTTCATACTCAAGGATGTCAAGTACCAGGAGCTGCGCGCCATGATGGACTACATGTACCGCGGCGAGGTGAACATCTCGCAGGACCAGCTGGCCGCTCTGCTCAAGGCCGCAGAGTCGCTGCAGATCAAGGGTCTGTCGGATAACCGCACCGGCGGCGGTTCAGCCCCCAAGCCAGAGGCCACGCAGCAGCACCATCGCGGCAAGCTGGGCGGCGCCTACACACTGGAGCAGACCAAGCGCGCCCGCCTTGGCACCGCCAGTGGGATGGACGTCTCTGGGGATGTGTCCGGATCTCGCGAGGGCTCCTCCAGTCCGTCGCGTCGTCGTCGAAAAGTCAGACGTCGTAGCATGGAGAATGGTGAGTAATCCACTACATTGGCCTCTGAAAGAACCACAAAACTAAATCGTCTCTTGTTTTAGATGTCCACGACAACTCCAACTCGTCCGTGTTGCAAGCCGCCTCGAATCAGTCAATCCTCCAGCAGTCAGGCGCCGGTTTGGCCGTCTCCGCTCTGGTCAGCACCCAGCTGGCCAGCGGACCGTCCGCCGGATCCAGCAGCCAAACCTCGTCGACCCAGCAGCAGCCATTGACCAGCACCAACGTTACCAAAAAGACTGAAAGCGCTAAACTAACATCCTCGACAGCCGCACCTGCCACCGGATCCGCCACATCGGCGGGCTCCGGGCAACAGGGCCAGGCGCAGAACCCAAGCGATGCCATCAACACCGAGAACGTACAAGCCCAGAGCCAAGGCGGCGCCCAAGGCGTCCAAGGCGATGACGAGGATATGGATTCGGCGAGCGGTGCTGGCGGCGTTGGTGCCGTCAGTGGATCCGCTCCCGCTTCCGGTGCTGCTGCCGTTCACACTGGCGTGGTCGTCAAGCAGCTGGCCAGCGTCGTGGACAAGTCGTCGAATCACAAACAGAAGATCAAAGACAACAGCGTGTCGTCCGTGGGCTCCGAGATGGTGATCGAACCCAAGGCCGAGTACGATGATGATGCGCACGACGAGAACGTTGAGGACTTGACTTTGGACGAGGAGGATATGACAATGGAGGAGCTGGACCAGACGGCCGGCACAAGCCAGGGTGGCGAAGGATCTAGTCAAAGTAGGTTAATCTATACTCTCCTTCCATGGGGCGTCTATTAATTTTTTTTCTTTATTTTTTTTGTAGCATATGCAACATGGCAGCACGACAGATCTCAGGACGAACTCGGACTCATGGCACAGGATGCACAGCAACGGGATCCCCAAGGTGAGTGTTTGTTGCCTCTAAACTCGATAATATGAGCTACGAACAAATGAAAAAGCAAAAAGTACAGCTTAGCTAGAAGTTAGACTGAAACAGAAACAGAAACTGAAACAGAAAAAGAATCAGAATCAGAAACAGAAAGAAGAAAGCTTAAGAGAGATTTTTTTCAAAAGCAGCGAGCACGACGACAAGATTGTATTTGAAATTCCAAAGCACTTAAAGAATCTAAACTCTTCAAGGTCACAACTTCATTTTTTACCACACCAATACCAATACCAATACATTCAAAAACAGAGCTTAAAACTTAAATACATACATGCTTATATTTTTAAAAAATTTAAATGTGAACCAAAGTCGTGCTCCGAAAAAAGCTCTTAAACGTTGATAAAAAAAAGAAAGAAACATTGCATAGAGAATTTTTTGGAATATAATTTTCAACAAGATAGCAGAAAAAAAAAGCAAGCAACAAGAAAAAGTACAAATACAAACAATACCAAAAATAACAAGATCTGTGAGCGAGAGCCAGTGCAGAGAAGAAGAAGAAACCAACCGAAAAAAAAAATAGAAAAAGAAGAAAGTAATGATTTCGAACTCGAACTTGAATGCGAGATATGGTTGTCCTTCTCTCGGCGCCTGGGCTCTCGCAGCGGAGAGAAAAGAAACAGAATAATTAACCCGAACAAGAATAATTTGTGCAAGTTGAAAGTATTACTTAAACTCTTTCTTTACTTAATATGATTTTTTAAAAACTAATCATTTTTTAATTACGACACACATAATTCGTACCACTAGTAATATTTTTTTTGTACATATCAATTATTATTATTAATTTTTAACACACTTCCAAAAAACACAAGAAGAAACATTACCCAACCACCACCCACTCACACACAACATTATAATTGCTATACAACCCCCACCACCACCACCTCCACCAACGAAACAAAAAGATATCAACCCCATCCACCACTCCCACCTCTAACATACTCATTGTACCATTATCTATATATATGTATGATTCAATGTATGATCATTTGTTGTTGAATTCGTAATATGTTTTTACAATTGGTGTTTGATTAACTCTTGATTTGCCTTATTTACTTTGTATATATATATCGCATAGATCTACATCCCCACATTCTTAAGTTGCTCGCTCTATCCCCACTGTCCTGCTCTTTCCACCTGTCCACCTCCGCCCCACTCAGCCTGTCTCTTTCCGACATTAAGCCGCCAGCTGCAGAGCAAAGATGCATTCATGATAGTTCAAGCACCCACCCACCCACAATCACACACACACACACACAAACATCTCCAAGAGACACTGCGGCTTCACCTAGGCAGTCGATTAGGAACTAATCAAAAGCAACCACTCCCCCTTATCACTTAAGTTAGTTATTAAAATTACGTATCAAGAGTGTCAAGTGTGTTTACTTCCGGAAAGCGCTCTCCCCTTCACTCACTCTCTTGCGCTCTCTCTAAGCTGCTGTTTGTGTACGTGTGTGCTGTCATTGTGTGTATGTGTGCAGGGCTCTGGCAATGATTTCCCCCCAGACCCCCCAAAACCACCCCCGTAAAAAGAAAGCTCTCTCTCTCTCTCAGTACAGTCGCGTCAAAAGTTTGGCCACACTTCCAGCAATTTTTAATGAGCGATCATAAGCGGAATTATGTTTTTTCGCATAACCTTCTTTTTTCGCATTTTTCCACCACGACCTTGGCAATACCACCACCCACACACCCACCCACCCACACGTATTTTCATTTCCATTCTGCCGATCCATTTTGATTGTCTCTTAGAACTCTCAGCGCGTGCTAATGTTTTTTACACAGTTTTTTATTCTTTACCAAACATATATTATTACGAAATACGCATGCAGTTTTTTAAATTGTATTTTAGTACTATACCTATATATACATATATATTTTGCTTTATTTTGGTTGACGGGACTTTTTTTTTCCATCTTTATTTTCCTTATGAACTTTGTTTTTAGTCATAGAACTAGTTCCTAAGCGTATCCGGTTCCGATTTGGTCAGTTTTGAGCCAAAATTTCGGGCGTTTTCGTTCGCGACTTTCGGGCTTTGAGTCTCCAAGACAGGGGAGCGAGTCTTCCCTGGCAAGGAGCTGCGTATTTGTGTGAAAATTAAAAAAAATAAATAAAATCAAGTTAAGTGCAAAGTGTAACCAAGAGGTCACCCGTGAACGCCGAGGATCATCGTCTTGGGAGAGGATCAGCAGCTGCAGCGCCAGAGGTCGAGTCAGTGCCAAGAACAAAGCACGTAGTCATCCGAAGGATGGCGAGGTACAGTCGCAGCTTTGGGCACTTGGACGAGACCCCATCTGTAACGTCGACCCCACGATCTACCAAAACGAGAGGCCAGGTGTTCCAGGTGAGTATGCTCCGCTCGACGGTATCGGTTGGGCGGAGTGCCGCACAAAAATGAAATAAATTTTGTATTTTAAGTTCATTTTTGTTTGAATCCCGCCCCAATCCCGAATCCTCATTATTCCTACCAACCCTCGAAATCATCCCCACATCTACCAAAGAAACCTTCTAACTTTCAGCAAAGATCAGGTAATGTTTAAAAAACGAGCAAAGCTTAAGGCTCGCTAAAAAATGAAGCTGCGTGTGTGGTTCGTTTTCTCCTGAAAAGGACTTGAACGAACCCCCGGTCCGGTCCGATGCGCCGCCTCCTGGGTAAGCTATAGTGTAATGCACCAGTTCTATTCTTTTTCCATTTTATCTCTAAGTGTGTACGCCTTGAACTCGACATTGTACATACACACACCCACCCACACACCTCTCTCTCAATATATATTTTACTTAAAATTTCATTTGCGTTTGGCGTTTGTTTCTCAAAGTTGCTTGGAGCGTTGCCAAACTCTGAAACACATCCCGAAATCAAGAAGAACCCCCCCAAGTCACACACATTCTACAAAGAACTACAATTAGGATTAGTTTCCCGTTTGAGATTTGATTTCGGCTGGCCAGGTGAGAGGCAGGTGCGTCTTAAATGTCTTGTTTTAATTTCCATAAACGCTCCTCCTCCTCCTCCCTGGTGCGGTCGCTATCTATGCCCGTTCTGTTAATTGTTAATCAGCAGAAACAAAAATAAAAACAATAACAAGAAGCCCCCAGGCAGTCATTCGTTCGCTCGTTCGTTCAAGTTCAAGGTCGGCTAAAAAAATATAATGAGTATCTATGTGTGCGATTGTGAGTTTTTTCTTCGCTTCTTCTCTCCTCAATCAGCATTATTCACACGGCGAGTGAAGCAATAATATTAATGTTCATATCTCTGTGAATGTATCGCTTCTCGCTTTGCTATTTTTAAAAATTCGCACTGCATCCGTGTAAGCTCATGACGATGATGATGCCAGCGAGACAATACGTCTGTTTTTTATGGTTGCATAAAGAATCTGGTTTTGGGGATTTTTTTCTTTGAATTTTTGATGGGAATTTCGATCGTACAGTCGCAGAAAGTTGCACTACTAGATGAAATGGCGATTGGTTTGCATAATGGAACGTGTTTTTAGAGCCACGATATAGGAGATAGAATTCTTCTCAAGAAACCACAATGATATGGAGGTTTGGAATACGATGATGTGGGAACTAGATGCGGTTGCTCGCCCTTTCTCCCTACACTTTTGTATTATTTTCCTCTTCAAAAATGTATTGAAATTGTGGTTCTATGATTTATATTCCACCCCTACACCTCACCACCCTACCAGCCCACCGCCCACTGCCTATTCCTGGTTATGGCCCTGTTGAAAGCTGTTGGCATGGCCTTGACCCAATTCACCGTACAATTGGCTCAAAGCCCTGCCACACAAACACACACACACACACCACCGACACGCAGGAACAACAACACACACCCAGAACAGCGAAAGATAATGTTGTTTTTTTTTCACAGAAATGTGTCAAAAGCTTTTTCGATAAAAAGAGCCTTCAGCCGCAAGCTTGACTTGCAGGTCCTGGTGCCCCACTGTCCTTTGTGTGCTTGTGTGTGTGTGTGTTCATAAATTTAAATACCTGTGTCCTTTTGGAATAAAGTTTAAGCTTTCTATATGTAGTGTTGGTATGCAGAGCTCCTCCTCCACACCATTCCCCCCCGTATTCCGTAGTTGGTATTTGCTTTTAAGTGGTCTTTCGTCACTTTTCTTGTCTATTTTTCTTTAAAATTTATCAACTTGCATTTAGAGAGTATTTTTTGGATAATTGTTGATTATTATTTAGGGTTTTAAGAGCTTTTTTCAAGGTCAACAGTTTGTTTCTTAGAGAGAGAGTCCTTATAAGGAATGATGACTTAGGATGAACTTAGAAAGACTTTAAAAAGAGTCTTTAGGACACTTGGTTTTTCATTTGTTGTTGCTCTTCTTATTTTTCTGACCCTTTTCCTCAACTGACAACCTGATCCTCCTGGTTGCAGCCCTCTCGGTTGGCGGCTCTAAGCGTTTGGCCAGAAGAAAGGTCCTCCCAACGGCCGTCGCCTCCTCCTCCGCCCCGGCAACGCTCACGACGGCCCGGCGCAAACGCAAGGTGGTGGCGGCCTCCACCTCGGCCACGTCCTCGTCCCTGGCGCGCAGGTAAACCTAGATGACGGGCTTCGCCTCGTCCTTCTCGGATATGTCCTCTGTCTTCCAAGCCAATACCCACCAACCTCCTTTCCCTTTTCTGCAGACTAGCCAGCAGTGGTTCAGGAGGAGATGGCACCCTAGTGACGGGCTCGGCCTCCACGTCAGCCCCACCCAAGGCCAGGGCCAAGTCCAAAGCAACGGCGGCGGCGAGTAGTGGTCCGTATGTGTGCCAGACGTGCGGACGCAGCTACCAGGTCCTGGGCACCCTGACGCGCCACCTGCGCAAAGAGTGCAACCAGCCGAAGAAGTACGTGTGCCGCATGTGCGGCCGCGGCTTCCACTACAATTTCAAGCTCCAAGATCACTACTACTATGTGCACAAGGGCGCCGTCAAGAGGGACTGATGCGTCCGGATAGGACCATGTCTGA